GAATGCACTTTGTGCTGAAACTGATAATGGTAAAGACAATGTAAACCTGGAGGTGCCAGGGGATCCCAGTGTGGCCATCATGAGTCTGTGAATGAAGCCAAAAGCGAGGAGAGCAGAAACAAAAGACTGGAGGGAATTGGGGGAAGGGACCAGGGCCTGTGAGTGGTGATGTTTAAGCTCTTGAATTCTCAAACAGGAACTCTGAAATCAGACTAGCATTAAGAAATATTAACTTTTTGCAACTTGTGCAAAATTACTTAACCACTGTTTCTTCATTTATAAAGTACAGATGATAATAGTACATTCATTTAATCTTCATTTTGAGCATTAAATGAGATGGCACACGTAAAAAACTTAGAACAGTGTCTGACACATAGTTTGTGGCTAATAAATAGTAGCCACTATTAATATAGATATTTTAATGCATACCTTTTGAGTTATGTACAGCAATAAATTTTCCTTATATGCTTTAGCTAGCTTGAGTTAAGTTTCTATCACTTTCAACCAAAAAGGCCTAGTCTAAAACAATTAATATGAAGCCTAAAGCCCCACAGTGTACAGGTTTATGGCAGGCTAAATTCCCTTCTCTAGGCTGAGGTAGAGAAGGGGGATTGAGTCAATTAACTCTGGACCATCTGGCTCCCCTTAGTTGATGTCTATCAGTAATATTTCTTGAGGACTATGGACCCCAACTCCTACTTAGGAAAAGAGTTTCCTCATCACCACACTATTTATATTCATGAAAACATTCCTTTTTCTATGTTGCCAGTTAATAATATTTCTGCTGTGATGATTAATTTTTTTAAACACATAAAAATGAAAACAGTGGGAAATAAAACATGACAGAGATAAAATAAAAAAATATATTCCTATAATTAAAATACATTTTATATTGCTTTTTATTGCTTAAGCCTTAAACTGGAAACTTTTCATACTGGTTTAGGGTAAATAATACTATAAGTAAGCAGCCTACATGCTAAATAGCATACTTTTCTTGGTGTCAATTTCTGGAGGGATGTGCAGGGGATTTGCATGCTTAATTCCCATTAGCACCTGTCACTGGGATTTATTATCCCAGAGTTAATTCTCCACTCACTGCAGCCAAGAAAAAGGAAGCCCTGGTAGATGGATTTAAATGAAGCTTTTTATTTTTTCAAAACAGGATGAATTTCATGCCTATTTCTTAAATACCTCCAGTATTCCAACCCTGAAAATTCCATATTTAAATTCATTTTTTGGTAAAAATTTGCCCAAACTTGATTATATTCAACAACTAGAAAAGTCTATTCATAATTTGAAATTTTGTCTTGTGGAAAGAAGTCTTAATCAAAACCTTGGATTAATTTTCAAATACATTAGCTTTTATTTTTCCATTCAATATTGAATAAATGTTTATTGACCATCTATTACGTGCCAGGCAGTTTTCTAGGTTCTGGATAGAGAGTGGTAAAAGTACTAGGAAAAAAAACCCTCACCTTAAGAAGCATACAATACACTGGAGAGTATACATACATATATAGACACATATTTTTACACATATGTCTATGTACACCTATCTGTCAACATGTGTGCAGAGATGCATGAACATACAGAGGGTGCCAAAAAACATATACACATTTTAAGAAAGGAAAAAACTGTATTAAAACTATAATACTCAAATATACCAATAGCAAAAGATGAATACAAGTCACGATCTACTTCTGCAATTACAGGATGTGCTCAAAGTGGTTACCATCAATGTAATTTTAATACATTTTCCTTTCTTAAAATGTGTATATATTTTTTGGCACCCTCTGTGTATGTGTTTATATAAAAGAAGTGCTGTATGGAAAATCAAACCAGGTGACTTCAATTGAGGGTGATGAGGTGAGTGTTATTTTAAATAGTTGGTCAGAGAAGTTCTCTCTAAGCAGTGATATTTGAGCCCAGGTCTAAGAGATGTAAGTTAGCAATCCTATGCCCAGGAGCCTATGCAATGCTGCATTATCTCTTTCGCAAAGAAAATATCTAGGTGGGATGTTGATACACAAGGGAAGTTCCATCAGCAGCCATTGATCGTAGGGAACTCAACGTCTTGGCAAAGCAGATCAATTTGCTGGTATTTTTCTTGTCCTTGTTCTTATGCTGTCACTCTCCTCTCCCTTTTCCACCTCATTTCTACATACTATTACTCAAACTATTCTCCTGCCCTCTTTAGGCTGAATTTCAGTATTGTACTATTTTTGTCTTGCTTATCTTTTACTCTTTCTTTCAAAGAATTAATTTCATGCAGTATCTGTCACTGAGCACTTCAATGCCCCAAACAGGGTTATGTGACAATTTAATTGTATTTAACTAACTAGACTTTGAGAATTCTTCCCTATTGACATTTTGGCAATCAATCAACCAATAGTAATTGAATACCAAGTATATATATTGGGCTCTGTGTTAGGAGCTGAGGATGACATGATGAACAAGACAAAGTCTCTGCTTAAAAAAGAAATTCTAGTTAGAAAGGACAGTCAATAAAATTAAAATGAATAAGCAAATGACTTTTAGATCGTGTTGATATGATAATAAGTATATGTGGGGATTTCTTTGTTACTACTTAAGCCGCTGACCTTCTTGGAAAAATTGTAAAGACAAATATGAAATATAGTCATAATCCTTTCTGGTGATGTCATCCTCAAAATAAGTGACAGGTGATGAGTGGCCTAGATGCATGGTCCAACATGGTGGTCACTAGCCATGTGGATGTTTAAATTAATTACATAAACATTAAAATTCCCAATTTATACTAGTCACATTGCAAGTGCTCAATAGCCTCATGTGTATAATGACTAACGTTTTGGAGAACATAGATAAGAACATGTTTGTCATTGTAAAAAGCTCTGTTGGACAGCACTGGTCTAGATAGCATGCAGCTGATGGGAATCTTTTATCAATAGTAAGAATAGCAGCTAACAGTTTTATGTATCAGGCACTTCACATATGTTTAACTCATTTATTTTTCACAAACCCCCATGATAGTTATTGCTATCAAGCCCATCTTACAGATTAGGAAACTGAGGTACCCAGCTTATTGTTCAATATCTGTCAATTAGTAATACGGAATGCAAAGAATTAACCCAGACAGTCTGGTGCAGGACCCTACTCTCTTACCAAAATCTCAGGCTATTTTAGTATGGGAAAGCTAATGAGGGTGAAAAAGACATTTTAGCACGGCAGGCAGCTCCTCCCTCAAAATAAGAAATGGTCAGATTTGTCAATGTCTTTGCCAAGTATGACCTTTTCAGATCTATCAGATTCATCCAAGACACATTTTATTGGTTAGAAGGTTAGATGCTTGGCAGGCAGAATTGTGGAATGTTAGAATTGAAAAGAACTTTGAAACCATCAAATAAAATATTTCACAGATGAAGAAACTGAAGCATGCGTTTACCTGACCTGTCCAGGATGACAGCGAGTTATGACCACAGCCAAGATTAGGCAGCAAGCCTCCTGCCTGTGTTTATGTGTGTATGTGCCCCCTTGGCACCGAGAGCTTAAAATTTCCCTTATATATTATTTATTATTAGCTTAAAAATGGACTAGCCTTGGGAAGTAGTTTTCTTCTTCCCAGAATGTTACCTGTGCAAGTAAGTGTGTGTTGACTTTTTAATCCATCCACTTTGCTTATGTCTAGCTTTTTAAATTTTATCCACCCATTTCTACATCCCTCCTTCATCATTACAACAGGGATGAACAACCTAGCTACCCAGACAATTTTTTCCTGAAAAAGAAAAAAGGTTAAAAAAATCATAGCAGTTTGAGTCCATAGGCACACAGTCAGGAGTTTGGAAAACCATGTCATAGGTTCCACCATCACTTTAAGTGAGTCTCTACATATCTTATGCGTTATTTCTGGGAGTTTCTCCCCGGATTATCTCACCATGCTTTACATACTCAACCTGGCTAGCCACCAAGATGCACGCAAGTAAAGCTCTGTTGTAGAATTAGTTTTCCATGAGCTTTTAGTTTCTGTTCCACTACAGAGAGGTCACAGGCGCCCAGAGCACAAAGCAGTGTGAATGGCGTTAACAACCTCAAGATTGCAGTGGGTTGGGCACGGAAACAGCTTCACGCCTTCTTCCGCACTACGAAGAACTTCAGCTCCAGCTTAATCAATCTCAAGTCCCGAAATCGTAGAACGAGTCCAGTCCCGGGAGTCTGGCTCAGGCTTTGCTGGCGCCATGGAGAAGCTGGCAGGCAGTAGGCTGAGCTCCACAGGACACAGCCAAGTGGCTCGGGGCGCGCCGCTGCGCTCTCGGAGTCCAGGTCTGGCGCTCTGCGGGAGGCAGGCGCACTCCCACTCTCCGCATCGTTTCTTCCCTCAGGTCTCTCTCGCCCCGGCTTCCGCAGGTAAACCAACAGCCGGTCACCACCTCCAGCACAGGGCGCGCATCTCCCTCCAATCCTTGCTTACATAAGGCAGCCGGGCGCGCTCCCGCCGCCGCTTACCCCCCATCGGAGTTGGGCTGCCCCCTCCCGCCTCCTAGACGAGCGCCTCCCCGGACCCTGGCGCCGCACACTGACTGGGAGGGGACCCTCCTGAGCTCTCCAGCAGTGGCAGCCGGGACGTCTCCACGCGGCGTGAGAACACTGAGATTGGAGACGGGAGCGCCTCACAGTGCCCAACTCCCTCCCTCCGCTGTCTCCTCCTCCCACTTCTGTCTTCCTGCCCCCACCCCCGCCCCCGCCCGCGCGCGCTTGTGTGTGCTCTGCACTGGCGAGGGGACCGCGAGAGCAGTCCAGGCTCGGCACGCGGCGGAGCTACGGCTGCTCCAGCTGCTGGGGGGAGCGGCGCGGTGGCCGCCTTGCGCCTCCGCGGACTTCCCAAGTGGGGGCAGAGTGGCCGCTCGCGGAGCCGCCAGTTAGAAGGCACAGAGGAAGACCGACCTCCAAACTCCTCCTCAGCGTCTCCTCTCCACCCCCTTTTGGCCCCTGCCCTTGGAGAAAGTGGAGTGTGGCGCTTGGTTATCATTATTTCTTCTGATTGCTTCGCGGTGCACGGATTCAGCGGCTGCCCAGCCCAGTGGGACTTTCCGCTGTCCACGCGTCTGTGTGTGATTCTGCCGGCACACCTCTGTCGACGATGAGGAAAGGTCTGCGGGCGACAGCGGCCCGCTGCGGACTGGGACTGGGATACGTGCTGCAAATGCTCGTGCTACCTGCCCTGGCCCTGCTCAGTGCCAGCGGCACCGGTTCGGCCGCTCAAGGTAAGGCGGTCCGCCAAGCTCCGCGGCCACCTCCCTTCGCTCCTTCCTTCCTTCCTTCCTTCTTCCTCTCTCCTCCCCAGTTCTCCTGGCGTCCTTAATCCGCTGCGTTGCACTCTACTGGAAATCACTTTAAATTCCACTTTCCCAACTAGTCAAGAAGGGTTGGTTATTATTATTATGTTTTAATCTGTCTTCCGAGATGGGCAAGCTGGACTAGGGGCGCACCGGGTATGGACACGCATCCATTTGTGGGCATGTGGGAGCCTTGGGTGTCTTTTGCACTTTCTGCCCCACACGCTCACGTTGTTGCATATGGTACACACAGAGGTTTGGAGAGACTCTCCGTGCGGGTGTCTGTATGGTTTGCCTTAGATGCACTGATGCGCAGAGGTTCCCCGCGCTGGGCCACGTCTGGGTTGCGGGATTTTCGGTGAGTCTCTGAGCACGCCGGACGCCAAAGGGCGCTCAGCTAAGGAAATATCCATTACAGCCGAGGACCCCCAAGATCCGGTGCCACTCGGCTGCTGCTCAAGGCGCTGTGGAGACCCACAGCACACCCCGACCCCCGCGACCCATCCTGCGGCAGGCCCCGGGGGTGTGCACGCCTCCGCACTCATACCCTCTCGCTGTCTCTCTCCCAGCAGGCGACGGAGAAACTTAAAACCTCAGAGCTCTGGGGACTGGTTGCTTAAACCAAACCCGAAACTCTCCGGGGTCCCCGGCCTGTTTATAACTCTGACATTTTAATTTAGCGCGTCTGAGCTATAAAATAACTGTCCGGGTCCCTGGGCAAAGCCGGGATTGGGAGAAAAGCGGCCAGGAGTTGAGGGTGGGTGAGGAGGAGGGGAGGCTCGGGGGTTGATCGCCTAGCTCCCTTCTCGTCCCCCGAGTTGGAATTGGTAGCGGCATCTCCCAGCCTTGCGAGCTCGGGGAAGCTGAGGAGAAGAGAGATGGAGAGGAAAGAGCCAACGCTGCCCTCTCCGGGGTGTCTCTCTCTCTCTCTCTCTCTCTCTCTCGTCTCCTGGGCCCCCAACCTCGGCCAAGGCGAGCTCCCACCTGGGTCTGTCCGACCGGTACTGTGGCGGTCACTGGCTCTAGCGAGGCAGCTCAGCTTGTCCCTTCCGATGGGGGTGGCGTTGGGCAGTGGGAATGGAGGAAGCTGCTACAGCATCCAGAGGTAATGCCAAGCATCCCATCATCTCGGTTACACATCTTTACAAATTGGGAGAGCAGAGGAGGTGCGGCGATAGCCTCAACGCCCCCCGGCGTTGCTCAGATACTCTGGGGGTTCCGGACAGCATTGCTTCTAATCTGCGAAGGCTCCGGGGGCCAGGGCGTGGGAGGTACAGGGGAAGCTCTGAGCGTAGGTGAGTGTGGTCCGGGTGGGGAGGTAAGTGATTAGCAAGGCTTTGTGAATTAGCAATAGCTACTTCGGGAATAAATTTTCCTACTGCCGCGCTAAGTGGCCACGCTCATAAATCCTTCCTTTCCTTCTTGCCGGATGCCTCCCATCTCGAGGTTCTGCCCCGGTTTTCTTATGCATACTTCCAGAGCACATCTGCCCGTTTTACAAAGGAATCTCGGTTAAGAATCCTATGAACTTGTAGATTTCTTGAAATGCGTTAAGAAGTTATCAGGGCGACAGCCAAGGGTGCTTTGGGGAGGAGGGGGGTGGGTGTACTTGTGTACTTGGAAGTTTAAGTGGGCAACGCAACCTGATGAATAGTTTTGGACTCAACCGCGTGGCTCCCCGTGGAATTTACCTGCTGTTATTGGGTGCACAGAGCCATGGGGTAGCGACTGGGAGGGGGACCGGGCAGTGAGAGAACTGTTTGGGAAAAGGCCAAGTTAAAGTCCCCAAAGATGCCAAACAGGAGATATGAAATCCCTGCTGAGAGGGTACACAGCCAAATTAAAAAGACTGGGTAGTAAACAGGATCAATAAAAATAATCAAACTGGAGATTGTAAGTGGATTAATATTGAAAGAAGAAAAGAGAAGAGATGAAAAGAAAAGACGCCCAGGATAGACTGAGCATTTACCACTTGAGCTGTTTTTCTTCGTATAGACCAGGCAAGCCAGAGATTGAGGACTGAACCTGCTCTTCTGATCTTAAGTGGGAAAATAAAATGTATTCTGTTGGGTGTGTGCATGTCAGTGTTGTTCTTCATTTAGCTTTAGTTCTTTCAGTTCCAGGTCAATAAACTATTTATTTACATTTGAATCTTGTGGTCTTTGAAAGACATTATTCCACCACTTTTATCTTAGTTATCCTTCATGTTACAGGATACCAGCTGTTGCTATATTGTCTGATAGGTATCAAAAATGTAGAAAACACCAAACTCTACTATCAGCTACTATCACGTTTACTTTACTCCATTCCCCCAGCCTGTTAACTATTGAATCACTAGTCCACTCCATTCACAGAACCATACTTGTATAAAATGGTCTCGTGGTCAAACCTCCTTTCCCTTCAATTTCTCTGTTTTTCTCCTGTCTTTTTGGACTAGAGTGCCAGAGAAAGACAAGCTGCTGTTGCTCCCTCAAGGAGCATGAAAATCATTTTTCATGTGCTGAAGATTTAAAGATCAGAATGAACTGTTTTTATGAATGGCAGTACATAGGCATTAAGATGAGAAAGTTAATTTAAGCACTTTACAATGTGGATGAGGCTTTATTCTGTTGTTAGAGAAGTACTGGACAAAATAGGTGTTTTAAGAAATATGTCTCTTTGGAGATAGCTAAGAAAAAAACAAATGTTTAAGACAAAAAAATAATGAGTATTATTTGTGAGTCTACTGCATTTTGTAACTATGGTTTAAAGAAAGATGGCAGTCATTTTAAACAGGTCCTTGGGAGATTCTCTAGGCTTTAGGCAACACTTTCTCCTTTCAGGCTTTGCCCTAATTGTTTCATTCAAGATTGCTGGGAACTCCTAGCTCCAGGGAATTTGTGGTGTTTCTGACTTCTAAGAATGAAATATTTTACTAGGGAGGGAGGAGAGAGAGAGAGAGAGAGAGAGAGAGAGAGAGAGAGAGAGAGGTGTGCCTCAGAATTAGTGCCCTCCCATCTTATAAATGCATTTGATTTGATTTCTGGAATATACAGCATTGATGTTCTGCTTATCTAGCACCAACTAGTGTTATGAGTGTTAACACCACCAAACTCAGAACAGAAAATTACTGAAGATTCTAATCCTACTGGGATAACGCTCTACTATTATGTTAATTTATAATGTTTTTAAAAACAAATAATACATTTCTTTCTATAAAAGTAAACATTATTTTCATTCATTTATGAATATTGGTGTGGTAGAAATAGACAATTGGCATGAAAGACAACTGAATTTTGTTGCCATTATATTGTATATATTTTTTTCCATTTTAGGAGCAAAATAAATGTGTAACTTCACATTTGGAATTTGCAATAAGGAAAAGTAGGCTAGTTTACTTTTGTTTAAACAAATAATTTCATGCATTTTAGCTTAATGCTTAAAAGGCTACAGAGAACAAATTTTTCAAGCAAGAGTTTGGGAAGAGTAAGGAACAATTAGATTGATGATATTTATTGACTCCTTTGCCTTCTGTAATCTGGATAGTGGGGATTCAAAGTTTAACAGGACGGGGGCCCTCCAGCATCTCCCATTGTCATCCTAACCAGAATTCCTAGTGATCTTTTTTTGCAAACCCCCTTAGGACATGAACATGCACAAGGCATGAGATCTACTGGGCAAACCCTCTTAGCTTATTTATGGTTGTTGTTGAGACTTTAAAATAACTGTTCTTCAGTGTATGCTAGGTTCTCCAATTAGTGCCAGCAGTGAGAGTGCTCTATTAGGCCTTATCTGCATTTAGCACTTTTCTGTTTTAGGTCATGGCTTTGCTGGAGCAGCAGAGGGAGTCGCTCTCAGAAGAAACATTAACATGACTGCAACCACTTCAGGAAGATAATGGGGAAAAGTGTGGGGACAGGCATTGAGCCAGCACTCTTGTCTTCCAGTCTTATCCTACACCATTTTCAGTCTGACTTTTATACTTGTGGCAGTTAAAAACAAACCTGTTCACATTTCTTCACTATTTAAAAACTTCCTAGGTCATTTGGATAGTGGGTGGTATTAGAAGATTTGAACAAGATACTTGACGCCTTCAAGGAACACAAATTTATAAGTATATAATTATAATTCACTTTCTGAAATATAATGAGCATAAGTATAGTGCTTTCTGGATTCAAGCATCCCAAGATAGTAAACATAGGTCAGGCTAGGGAATGGTGGTGGGGGTCCCAGGGGATTTGAGAGTGGCAGTTTGGTAGGAAGAGGGATGCTCTTAAAGCTAAGTTTGCATTGCAACTGTCTTGAAGTAAGGTTTAATATATATTTGGTCTGGTTTTGGGGAGGCATGAACTAAAAAGCTGTTAGTGGTATGTGCCCATTCTGCCAGGTATCTTAGTGGTTACCACTATCTCAAGATCCTGCCTCCACCACCTCCTAGGTGTGTGGACATCAATAAGTTTTTTTAGCATTTCTGTGCCTCAGTTTCCTCTGATATAAATGAGGATAATATATACTATGAGTCATATTAGGAATGAATGAATTAATATGAGTACATGTAAAGTATTTGGAGCAGTATTTTTTTATCTTCCAACCATTGGCAATGAAATCTAGAAGTTTAAGAAATTAAAGGTTAATGATTTTGAACTCAGAACGGGGGCTGCTACAGACCCTGCTTTCCTAAAGCAACACATGGAGCTGTCTGAGGAGATGCTTCAAAGTGTAGCCCTGCAGACTCCTGGACAGTGTGCATGGCTCTTTGAACAGCATGTGGGAGCTCTCTCCTTTCATAGCCCAATGTCTTCCTTTCTGCTCCCTCTCAGAAAATTCACCTAGTACCTATTCTGAAAATGCCATGTTAAGTCACTGTCAGTAAGGTCCTGGCTATAAGCTCTACCCTTGACTTTCTTTCTTTACAGTGAATATTGAAAGATAACTTTTCATAAATACAT